TAAAAACAATGTAATACATTATTCAGATACAAATAGATACATTTGTTGCAATCGCAAGACTTTTTCATATAAAATATAATAGCGGACTAGAATTCTTCTTCTTCTTTTTCTTCTTCTTCTTGCAGGTCACGGCTCATGCGCAGATTTTTTATCGGTAAAATGATCGGCCGATTTGCTCATCATTGCCGGGAAAATCGGCCGATCGTCCAAATCGCCTGTGAATTTTCCAGCATGCCCGATAAAAAAAAATGTGCAAAACCCCCGAAAAACGGCCGACCAATTAACCCACTGATGGTGCGAAAATCGGCTGATTTTCGACATGTCTATGGCCGGCATAACTCTTCCTCTGTAGTGACTCTTCTTCTTCTCCATTTTTCATTGCAGGAAAATAATAGATTCCAAGTAGAAGCAACGTGCCGTCATTGGGGTTGATTTATTAAAGACAAATAGACTGTGCACTTTGCAGACTGTGGATGCTGCAGGGCTTAGTAAATGAGCAGAAGCTTCCATCATCCAGTCAGGTGCAAGAAAAAAAATTATATTATTTTGTTTTTAAAAAAAAGTATATTATATGTTTTTATATTTTCCTTGCACCTGATTGGGTATTCTTTGCATACAAGAGCTTTACCTCATTTACTAAGCTCTGGAGCAATTGCACATGCAGAGTACTCAGCCTATTTGCCTTTAATAAATCAACCCCATTGAGTTACTGATGAAGGAGGGGTGGCGGCTGTCCGACATCCACAGAATGATGACAGAGATGACACCACTGACCAGAGCAATGTCTTCTCATGGGTGACTCTTGTCAATGGTGTCATCTCCATAAACATTCTGTAGCCTTCTGTGGATGTCAGACAGCCTGCACCCCTCCTCCATCAAGAACCCAATTACCGCACATTGCTTCTGCCCGACATCAGTGCCTGACCTGACAAATGTGCTTCTGGAAGAATGGTCCAACCTTCCCATAGACACCCTCCTAAACCTTGTGGACGGCCTTCCCAGAAGAGTTGAAGCTGTTATAGCTGCAAAGGGCAGGGCCAACTCAATATTGAACCCTAAGGACTAAGACTGGGGGGGCCATGAAAGGTCATGTGTGTGGAAAGGGCGGGGCCAACTTAATATTGAACCCTACGGACTAAGACTGGGGGGGCATTAAAGGTCATGTGTGTGGAAAGGGCGGGGCCAACTCAATATTGAACCCTACGGACTAAGGGGGGGGCATTAAAGGTCATGTGTGTGGAAAGGGCGGGGCCAACTTAATATTGAACCCTACGGACTAAGACTGGGAGGGCATTAAAGGTCATGTGTGTGGAAAGGGCGGGGCCAACTTAATATTGAACCCTACGGACTAAGACTGGGAGGGCATTAAAGGTCATGTGTGTGGAAAGGGCGGGGCCAACTCAATATTGAACCCTATGGACTAAGACTGGGGGGCCATTAAAGGTCATGTGTGTGGGAAGGGCGGGGCCAACTCAATACTGAACCCTACGGACTAAGACTGGGGGGCCATTAAAGGTCATGTGTGTGGGAAGGGCGGGACCAACTCAATATTGAACCCTACAGACTAAGACTGGGAGGGCATTAAAGGTCATGTGTGTGGAAAGGGCGGGGCCAACTCAATAGTGAACCCTACAGACTAAGACTGGGGGGCCATTAAAGGTCATGTGTGTGGAGAGGCCGGCGGCCCAATACTTGGGGCAATATAGTGTATATATAGTATATATATATATCTCTTCCATTGGTAGAAGCCTGTGCTGAAACGACTTCATAGACTGATGATCCAATGGCTGTGTGTGGTATAATGGACTTCAATTGTTCCAATTGACTGCAATCTTCCACGTTTGCGCTAATAACCGCTATTACTCCGCTCTACAAAAGGCTCTTATCCTCGCGGCTTTAGATTGACTGAGACACTCATTGTGACGGGGAACGCTCTGAATTCCGGGCTGATATTTAAAGTTGGCAATCAGTACCATCAGTGTCTGCGACTCACAATGTGCCTCTATCCCTCTGCGTGCCGCAACCACAGACTTTATCCCGGTTCTCACGCATGTGTGTTGGAAAGTGAGACGTTGTAAAGTGCGTGTGCGCGTCCCTATGCTTCGCAGCTGAGCGCTGTGCGACCTGCAGGATGTGTGTGTGGAAGTTGCTAGACGCGGTATGAGACCGGGTTCCTCACATGGAAGAAAAATATATTTGAAATTTATTTTAAAAATATTCTTCCCAAATATATTGACATATAATTGAAATGTTACAATTTTGGCCGTATTCAATATATTTAAAAAAAAAATATATATATATATATATACTGTATATCATGTTGAAATGTATCTTTATTACGAAATATTTGAAAAATGTTTTTAAAAATACATTTCAAATATACTGTGTGTGTCTTTAAAACTACAAATCTACATTTTTGGAACGCATTTACAAATATATGTAGAAATATAAGTTAAAATTACTTTTTTGTATATATAAAAAAATCTGAAGAATATATTTAAAAAATAGATAGTTTTAAAAATACATTGTGAGATACTCCCTTAGGTTTGGTTCACACCTACGCGGGTTGCGTTTGACCCTTTTCTGCATTGCGTTTTGAGTTGCATTTTGTGTTTTTGCACCTGCGGTTTTTTGTTCTTTGTTTTTTTTTCAGTTTTTTTTTTCATTTTTCTTGTTGCTAGGCAGATTTAAAATGAATGTAAAATGCAGCAAAAATGCACCACATGCTTTTCTGCAGCGTTTCCATTGAAGTCTATAGAACCAAAAACGCAACTTTTTGCATTCAAAAAAGTCCCCAACCCTTTCCAAAAACGCACCGGGTGAAAACGCGGAGATGTGAACCTGTCCCTTAGGAAATCATGTTAAATGGACTGTAGTGCTTCCCCCATCCTCTGGAACTCCCTACCCCAATCCATCAGACTGTCACCTACTCTCCTCACCTTTAGGCGCACCCTGAAAACCCATCTCTTCAGGGAAGCCTACCCCGCCCCCTCACCTAATTACTGAACTCCTCCACTTCTCCCACCACTCCATCCCCCACAGCCACTTCCTCCTGTGCCACCACCCCCTCCCACCTAGATTGTAAGCTCCAAGGAGCAGGGCCCTCGAACCCCTCGTGTATTGTATTGGTATTGTTCTGTCACATGTTCTGTCCCCCTCTGTAATGTACAGCGCTGAGCGAACTATTGGTGCTTTATAAATACTGTAATAATAATAATAATAATAATAGTGCATTTCTGCAAAACGCTGTGGAAAACGCTTAGGTGTGAATTCGGGGTAAAATGTATTTTTATACACAGCTAGCTTAAACTGTTACTAAACCTTCAACAGTACAATCAGTCTGTAGATGCAGCAAAGCGTGCTTGTTATACTCACTGTGGAACCTAAGGGGTTAATCCTCTGCATTGTGTAAAAAGGCTGTTTGATCATGTCTTCTCTGATCCTCCCCAATCCATCTGCTGATAGAACAGAGCTCTAGGAGGCATTCTGCACATGCTCAGTTTTTTGTGTGTATTGCTAGACTGTTTTTTTTTTTGTCTAGGAGAGTGGATGTGATCAGCACAGGGCCAATCAGCACTGTCCAGACAGAGGGTCAGGGGTTATGCAGTCTCATAGGATGGTCAGAGGAGAATGAAAACTCCTCCTACAAGCTTTAACCAGTGCTTGGACAGATTCTGTTAGAAGACACAAGACTGCTATATAGTGCTGATGAGAAAAGGGATTTAGCAGTTTTATATTTACTAAAATAATTGCATTTCCATGATTCTGTGCGGGGTACTGTAGGAGAGCGGATATAGTGAATGCGGGGTCCGGGGAGAGCGGATATAGTGAATGCGGGGTCCGGGGAGAGCGATATATAGCTGTTCTGAATGCGGGGTCCGGGGAGAGCGGATATAGTGAATGCGGGTCCGGGGAGAGCGGATATAGTGAATGCGGGGTCCGGGGAGAGCGGATATAGTGAATGCGGGGTCCGGGGAGAGCGGATATAGTGAATGCGGGGTCCGGGGAGAGCGGATATAGTGAATGCGGGGAATGCGGGTCCCGAGAGCGGGAGAGCGGATATATAGTGAATGCGGGGTCCGGGGAGGGAGGAGCGGATATAGTGAATGCGGGGTCCGGGGTGAGAGCGGATATAGTGAATGCGGGGTCCGAGGTTTAGTAACACTTTAAGTACCAGAGTCTGTTCTGATAATGGCCTCTCACCATTACTACAACTGAGAGAGGGAGGGGCAGCACAAGGAACCAATCAGGCTCTGCTGCATGCACATGTAGCTTCATTTCTACTTTGATAGCTGCTGCTGTAAAAATCAAGAAAATGAATGTGTGGTGCATGCCAACCATGGACAGCTGGTACAATGGGCACAAGGTGGTACACCCATTCTATGGCATGCACTTGGAGTGGGGGAGAGGGTGCTCAAGATGCTGAATGAACCTGTCCTAATACTGCTCCCGGGAGGCCCCTGGCCTGGCCCAATCAGTATCACCAGTAGCCCATTCATTACCTTCTTCAGGCCTTGCAGCGTACAACTCAAATAGTGGCCTCACCCAGTACAAGTTTTGTTTCCAGAAGACATTCCCATCTTGAGGTTAGGAGAAGGAAGGATCCATGCAACGAAAGCTTCATGAAGCCTTCAGGGGTTACCAGAATCCTGCATTCCATTCCCAAGGGACGGGAGTATTCCATAAGCCTCATCTTCTTCAAGGTCCCAGAAGCGAAATCCTCAAAGAACTTCACTGCCTTGGTCCTTGCACCGCTTCCGATGATCAACCAACCCCGAGGTGGAATCCCACCAGACTCTTTACACAGAGGGAATGGACCTTCCTGCAGCAGTCACATTTTCTACCAAATTCAGAGGCACATTGCAGGTTCCACTTATTGCAGACGACCACAGACACACTTACCGTCTTTTTCTGCTCTGTTCGTCCACCATAAGTGAAAGGAAAGACCTAAAGCCTATACCAGGCCATAGACTCCCAATGTGATTGGCCCAGCACAGTCACTTGGAGTGAGTCACGTGCTCCTCCATATCCTGAAGTATTAGGTTTTTCCTCTGGGCCCCCCCCCCCCCCCCCCGCCACTGAATGGAGTAGTAGGAGAGTGAAGCAATGGTAAGTGTGCAGTATGCTGTTTTAGGAGGGATTGGGACTGGTGGGTTTGCTTTGGGTGGGGGCCATTGGATAGCTGGATATTGGTTTACCTAGTCAGTGGCTGGGGATGGGAAGATGTTGTGATACAACATTTAGTAGTATACTATTGGGACGCTATTCCTCCCACTGACACCAATGATGGAAAACTCTTCCTCCAACTGACACCAGTGATGGGGCACTATTCCTCCCACTGACACCAATGATGGAACACTTTCCTCACATTGACACCAGTGATGGGGCACCTTTCCTCCTATTGACACCAATGATGGGACACTATTCCTTCCACTGACACCAATGATGTGGGGCACTATTCCTCATATTGATACCAATGGTGGGGCACTATTCCTTCCACTGACACCAGTGATGGGACACCCTTCCTCCTATTTATACCAATGATGAAGCACTATTCCTTCCACTGACACCAATGATGGGGCACTATTCCTCATATTGATACCAATGGTGGGGCACTATTCCTTCCACTGACACCAATGATGGGGCACTATTCCTCATATTGATACCAATGGTTGGGCACTATTCCTTCCACTGACACCAGTGAGGGGGCACTATCCCTTCCACTGACACCAATGATGGGGCACTATTTCTCCCAATCATACCAATGATGGGGCACTATTCCTCCCAATTATACCAATGATGGGGCACTATTCCTTCCACTGACACCAATGAGGGGGCACTATCCCTTCCACTGACACCAATGATGGGGCACTATTTCTCCCAATCATACCAATGATGGGGCACTATTCCTCCCAATTATACCAATGATGGGGCACTATTCCTCCCACTGACACCAATGATGGGGCACTATTCCTTCCAATCATACCAATGATGGGGCACTATTCCTGCCACTGACACCAATGATGGGGCACTATCCCTTCCACTGACACCAATGATGGGGCACTATTCCTCCCAATCATACCAATGATGGGGCACTATTCCTGCCACTGACACCAATGATGGGGCACTATCCCTTCCACTGACACCAATGATGGGGCACTATTCCTTCCACTGACACCAATGATGGGGCACTATTCCTGCCACTGACACCAATGATGGGGCACTATCCCTTCCACTTGCACCAATGATGGGGCACTATTCCTCCCAATCATACCAATGATGGGGCACTATTCCTTCTCCTTATAACTACAGTCATTATGTAACTTTCTTATTCCCAGTGACCACCAAGCCTGGGACATTGTCCATTCTTACTGACACTGGGGTATTTTCTACTTCCATCAGCCACAGTCCAGCTTTCCTAAAGTCTGAAGGACAGTAAACAGGCTCTTTGTATTGAAAGTGTAGAGACCCCTGGTGTATACACTCACCGGCCACTTTATTAGCTACACCTTGCTAGTCCCAAGAAAATCTCCCCCACACCATGACACCACCACCAGCCTGAACCGTTGATACAAGGCAGGATGGATCCCCCACACCATGAAACCACCACCACCAGCCTGAACCGTTGATACAAGGCAGGATGGATCCCCCACACCATGAAACCCACCACCACCAGCCTGAACCGTTGATACAAGGCAGGATGGATCCACCACACCATGACACCACCACCACCAGCCTGAACCATTGATACAAGGCAGGATGGATCCATCACACCATGACACCACCACCAGCCTGAACCGTTGATACAAGGCAGGATGGATCCCCCACACCATGACACCACTACCACCAGCCTGAACGGCTGATACAAGGCAGGATTGATACATGCTTTCATGTTGTTTACACCAAATTCTGAGCCTACTGTTGCCTTTCTATCATCTGGAACCAGTCTGCCCATTCTCCTCTGACATCAACAAGGCATTTTCCTCCACACAACTGCCACTCACTGGATATTTTCTCTTTTTCGGACCATTCTCTGTAAACCATAGAGATGGTTGTGCATGAAAATCCCAGTAGATCAGCAGTTTTTTAAATACTCAGACCAGCCCACCTGGTACCAACATCCATGCCACATTCAAAGTCACTTAAATCCCCTTTCTTCCCCATTCTGATGCTCGGTTTGAACTTCAGCAAGTTGTCTTCACTGCGTCTAGAGGCCTTAATGCATTGAGTTTCTGCCATGTGATTGGCTGATTATCAATTTGTATTACAGAGCAATAGAACAGTTGGACCTAATAAAGTGTCCGCTGAGGGTACTGTATATTCATCATATGACAACCTCGGTTTGCCCCAGTACAGTCTGGAAATGCAGCTACTATACTTAATATTTACTTCTACCAAATTACTGTAGTCTGGGCTTCCCAAAGAGCCGGGTTGAGTAAAGATTTATTTTTTTTTTTATTTTGCTCAGAGAAAAATAAATTCCACAAATATCAGATTTTTATTTTCATCCGTTTCATCTGTTCAGGATTTGCGTGCTGTGACTCTCCCTCCAACGCCACCAAATATACTCTCTAAATCACTCCGTCTCCATTTCTTTGACCTACAGATCAATCATTTGATGTGTTCATTGTAAGGATCTAATTCTCCGGGAAATGTATGGAGGACAAACAGGAAAACACGTCTTTACAAGGCACTGACTCATTAACGGGAACTATTTAGATAAAAATGCTGGAGACACCCTGACCCATCAGCAATTAACCTCCATGTCAGAGATGTCTAAACTACGTGTCCTAACAAAGTGGAATCTGATAGATAGAGTACAAGACAAAAGCTGGGTGGAGATTTATGACCTCCACTTCCACTACTGAAGGCGACTGGATGATGATGAGTTGTAACCTCCGCTGCCACCACTGAAGGCGGCCGGATGGAGATGAGCTATGACCTCCAATTCTGCCACTGAGATTGGCTGGATGGAGATGTGTTATGGCCTCCAACTCCACCATTGAACTCCACTGCCACCACTGAAGGTGGCTGGATGGAGGTGAGTTATGACCTCCAATTCTGCCACTGAGGTTGGCTGGATGGAGATGTGTTATGGCCTCCACCTCCACCACTAAAGGCGACTCGATGCAGATGAATTATGACCTCCACTGCCACAACTGAACGCGGCCGGATGGAGATGAGTAATGACCTCCACTGCCACCACTAAAGGCAGCTGGATGGACATGAGTTATGACCTCCAATTCTGCCACTGAGGTTGGCTGGATAGAGATGTGTTATGGCCTCCACCTCCACCACTGAAGGCGACTGGATGGAGATGAGTTATGACCTCCACCACTAAAGGTGACTGGATGGAGATGAGTTATGACCTCCACTGCCACCACTGAAGGCGGCCGGATGGAGATGAGCTATGACCTCCAATTCTGCCACTGAGGTTGGCTGGATGGAGATGTGTTATGACCTCCCAACTCCACCATTGAACTCCATTGCCACCACTGAAGGTGGCTGGATGGAGGTGAGTTATGACCTCCACTGCCACCAATGAAGGCGGTTGGATGGAGATGAGTTATGACCTCCACTGCCACCACTGAAGGCGGCCAGATGGAGATGAGTTATGACCTCCAATTCTGCCACTGAGGTTGGCTGGATAGAGATGTGTTATGGCCTCCACCTCCACCACTGAAGGCGACTGGATGCAGATGAATTATGACCTCCACTGCCACAACTGAAGGCAGCCGGATGGAGATGAGTAATGACCTCCACTGCCACCACTAAAGGTGGGGAGATGGACATGAGTTATGACCTCCAATTCTGCCACTGAGGTTGGCTGGATAGAGATGTGTTATGGCCTCCACCTCCACCACTGAAGACGACTGGATGGAGATGAGTTATGACCTCCACCACTGAAGGTGACTGGATGGAGATCAGTTATGACCTCCACTGCCACCAATGAAGGCGGTTGGATAGAGATGAGTTATGGCCTCCACCACTGAAGGTGACTGGATGGAGATGAGTTATGACCTCCACCACTGAAGGTGACTGGATGGAGATCAGTTATGACCTCCACTGCCACCACTGAAGGCGACTGGATGGAGATGAGTTGTGACCTCTAATTCTGCCACTGTAGGTGGCTGGATGGAGATGAGTTATGACTTCCCTTGCCACAACTGAAGGCGGCCGGATGGACATGAGTTATGACCTCCATTGCCACCACTGAAGACCATCAAAGGACACATCGTGTCTTTAATTTAGGGTTGTGGAGTAGTGGCAATACTAGCTCACATTTGGTGGGATTGCCCTGAATCAAATGTTACTGGTCCAGAGTCTAACAATTAATAATTGTATATTATTCTATTGGGCCATAGTGAGAACCCATATTAATCCTTACTCAATCTTAAAGTGTTTACTAAACCCAGTACCCCCGCATTCACTATATCTGCTCTCCCCGGACCCCGCATTCACTATATCAGCTCTCCCCGGACCCACCATTCACTATATCCGCTCTCCCCGGACCCTGCATTCACTATATCAGCTCTCCCCGGACCCACCATTCACTATATCCGCTCTCTCCCCGGACCCTGCATTCACTATATCTGCTCTCCCCGGACCCCGCATTCACTATATCCGCTCTCCCCGGACCCCGCATTCACTATATCCGCTCTCCCCGGACCCCGCATTCGCTATATCTGCTCTCCCCTGACCCCGCATTCACTATATCCGCTCTCCCCGGACCCCGCATTTACTATATCCGCTCTCCTCGGACCTCACATTCACTATATCCGCTCTCCTCGGACCTCACATTCGCTATATCTGCTCTCCCCTGACCCCGCATTCACTATATCCGCTCTCCCCGGACCCCGCATTCACTATATCCGCTCTCCCCGGACCCCGCATTCACTATATCTGCTCTCCCCGGACCCCGCATTCACTATATCCGCTCTCCTCGGACCTCACATTCACTATATCCGCTCTCCCCGGACCCCGCATTCACTATATCCGCTCTCCTCGGACCTCACATTCGCTATATCCGCTCTCCCCAGACCCCGCATTCACTATATCCGCTCTCCCCGGAACCCTGCATTCACTATATCCGCTCTCCCTGGACCCCGCATTCACTATATCCGCTCTCCTCAGACTTCACATTCACTATATCCGCTCTCCCCGGACCCCGCATTCACTGTATCCGCTCTCTCCCCGGTGTGATGAGGCTGCTGGCCGGTGCCCGGGGTGTGATCCTCTCTCCTCCGGTGTGATGAGGCTGCTGGCCGGTGCCCGGCGTGTGATCCCCTCTCCTCCGGTGTGATGAGGCTGCTGGCCAGTGCCCGGCGTGTGATCCTCTCTCCTACCCGGTGTGATGAGGCTGCTGGCCGGTGCCCGGGGTGTGATCCTCTCTCTTCTTCGGTGTGATGAGGCTGCTGGCCGATGCCCGGGGTGTGATCCCCTCTCCTTCGGTGTGATGAGGCTGCTGGCCGATGCCCGGGGTGTGTGATCCCCTCTCCGTTCCGTTGTGATGAGGCTGCTGGCCGGTGCCCGGGGTGTGATCCTCTCTCCTCCGGTGTGATGAGGCTGCTGGCCGGTGCCCGCCCGGGCGTGTGATCCCCTCTCCTCCGTGTGTGATGAGGCTGCTGGCCGGTGCCCGGGGTGTGATCCTCTCTCCTCCGGTGTGATGAGGCTGCTGGCCGGTGCCCGGGGTGTTATCCCCTCTCCTCCGGTGTGATGAGGCTGCTGGCTGGTGCCCCGGGGTGTGATCCTCTCTCCTCCGGTGTGATGAGGCCGCTGGCCAGTGCCCGGCGTGTGATCCCCTCTCCTCCGGTGTGATGAGGCTGCTGGCTGGTGCCCGGGGTGTGATCCCCTCTCCTCCGGTGTGCCGGTCTGTGCTTCGCCCTCCTGGCAGTGGCTCTCAGCACTGATCACTGGCATGAGGCGGATGCCCAATGACACCGGGACCAGTGCAGGAAGCTGGGGGGAAGAGGAACAATCCAGGATCCATGTACACCCCGGGCCAGCACCTCCCCATCCTGGGGGAAAAATCGCGGCCCATCCGAGGAGGAGAGCCGCTGTCCAAAGGAGTAGTCCGTCTGATCTCCAGGGTGGAGGAGGTGTCACACCGGGAAAATTGGCACCGGGAGATCTCTTCCCCCCAACCCTACATGGCCATGGACAGCCACTGCACCTGCCGCTTCAACCCCACCGTCTCCCGACTCTGGAGGAGACGTCACCAGGAGGGTGTCGGGGATGCGGCAGAATTTTTCGAGGTCGCCTAGGGCAGCACAAATTCTAAATACACTCCTGGGGCAGACAATTTTGAGACTTGACCCGTTTCTGTTTACTTTGACGCAACCCGATCTTTTATATTTTACCCCAAATTTGGGTATAATATTGTATTTTTATTCTATGTGTATTTTTTTTCCCCTCAAAATATGCTTTTGATAAATAGCTGCAGAAATACTTTACGACATAAAAAAAAATGGCAACTACCAACATTTAATTCTCCAGGGTCTCTGCTTTCAGAAAAATAGACTTTTTTTGGCGGTTTCTAGCAAAAAAGAAATTGCTGATTTTAACATGTCTGCAAAAAAATGAACAATTTTGCCCCAGTAGGCGAGTGGTTAGGAAGCAGTCAGCTATTTCATCGATTTCACGCTATTAGTAATATATCACCTATTGTTTGGTCCGGGGAACGTCGCATTTTCACATTCTTCGGATTTTATAAATCGTCCCCCTGTATAGGGAACTCGCCCGCTGCTCGATATTTTTTTTTTTTTTATGTCAGCGATGATAAGGCGATGTGATGGGCGGCTCCCCGCACTTGGAATTCTCATGTCCCTCATTAGCATCTCTGATGATCCATATTTCTGGGGGCATTTGATCAAAGCCTCCACAGGCCTAGATTCATTCCTGACATCAGATGCGTTGTACTAGTGGTGGATGCGGCGGATTTAACTCCTTGTTTTCTGACTGTTCGTATAGCTGCTTCTCTATTCCATCCAGTACCACTGCTGTGGGGCCCTGAGGCACAGGGGGGGAGGGGACCCGGAGGAATACATGTGCCTCTGAGGGCCCATTAGTTTTCCTGTAAAAATTATATATTCAGGTTTGATTGGTATTTGCCACTCACTGCGCATAATATACACTCACCGTCCACCTGTTCAATGGCTTGGTAATGCAAATTGATAATCAGCCAATCACATGGCAGCAACTCCATGCATTTAGGCATCTAGACGTGGTGAAGACGACTTGCTGAAGTTCAAACCGAACATCAGAATGGGAAGAAAGGGAATGTAAGAGACTTTGAACGTGGCATGGTTGTTGGTGCCAGATGGGCTGGTCTGAGTAAAACTGCTGATCTACTGGGATTTTCCCGCACAACCATCTCTAGGGTTTACAGAGAATGGTCTGAAAAAGAGAAAAATATCCTGTGAGTGGCAGTTGTGTGGATGAAAATGCCTTGTTGATGTCAGAAGTGACTTTGATCATGCCATGGATGTTGGTTCTCACTTGTGGTGGGCCCGGAGCATTTTTTGCCCCCACTGGTCACAATCCGGCCCCTCTAAAATCGGAAAGGACAGTAAACTGGCCCTTGTTTGAAATGTTTGGAGACCCCTGGTGTAATGTATAATGAGGAAGCAAGAACTGCACAAGCACCAGCATTTAGAGTGGTGAAGACGACTTGCTGAAGTTCAAAACGAGCATCAGAATGGGGGAAGAAAGGGGATTTAAGTGACTTTGAACGTGCCATGGATGTTGGTTCTCACTTGTGGTGGCCCCGGAACATTTTTTGCCTCCACCGGCCACAATCCAGCCCCCCCTAAAGTCTGAAGGACAGTAAACTGGCCCATTGTTTGAAACGTTTCAATATTATAATATTTCAAAAACTGCTGAGCTACTGGGATTTTTACGCACAACCATCTCTAGGGATTACAGAGAATGGTCCGAAAAAGAGAAAATATCCAGTGAGTGGCATTTTGTGTGGAGGAAAATGCCTTGTTGGTGTGAGAGGTCAGAGGAGAATGGGCCAACTGGATTGAGATGATAAAAAGGCAAAAGGTAGCGTCAGAATTTGGTGGAACAACATAAAAGCATGGATCCATCCTGCCTTGTATCAATGGTTCATTGCATTTAGGCATCTAGACGTGGTGAAGATGACTTGCTGAAGTTCAAACCGAGCATCAGAATGGGGAAGAAAGGGGATTTAAGTGACTTTGAACGTACCATGGCTGGTCTTAATATTTCAAAAACTGCTGATCTACTGGGATTTTTAAACACAACCATCTTTAGGGATTACAGAGAATGGTCCGAAAAAGAGAAAACATCCAGTGAGCGGCAGTTTGTGTGGAGGAAAACACCTTGCTGGTGTCAGAGGAGAATGGGCTGTTTGATTCCAGATGATAGAAAGGCAACAGTAACTCCAATAACCCCTCGTTACAACCAAGGTATGCAGAATACCATCTCTGAACGCAGAACATGTCCAACCTTGAAGCAGATGGGCTACAGCAGCAGAAGACCACACCGGTGTGTCACTCCTGTCAGCTAAGAACAGGAAACGGAGGCTACAATTCACACAGGATCACAAAATTGGACAATAGCTTATTGGTAAAACGTTGCCTGGTCTGAGGAGAGTAGATTTCAGCTGCGACATTCAGATGGTCGGGTCAGAATTTGGCGTAAACAACATGAAAGCATGGATCCATCCTGCCTTGTATCAACGGTTCAGGCTGGTGTGTGGTGATGTGGTGATGTCATGGTGTGTGTGGGGATCCATCCTGCCTTGTATCAACGGTTCAGGCTGGTGGTGGTGATGTCATGGTGTGGGGGAGATTTTCTTGGCACACTTTTGGCCCCTTAGTACCAATTGAATTGAACATCGTATAAATGCCACGGCCTACCTGAGAATTGTTGCTGACCATGTCCATCAGTCAGTGTGGAGTTCTATTAGTGACGTCATTCATTCTTTGACAAACAGGTGGCAATTATTGCCCTTATTTAAGGAAGGAAGGCAGCAAATGTTGGACATGCTGGTTACAGTGCATTTCTCTCTGAAATTCTGAGGAAAATGGGTCGTTCCAGACATTGTTCAGAAGAACAGCGTACCTTGAATAAAAAGTTGATTGGAGGGGAAAACATATAAAGAAGTGCAGAAAATGATCGGCTGCTCAGCTAAAATGATGGCAAATGCTTTAAAATGGCAACCAAAACCTGAAAGACGAGGAAGAAAGCGAAAAACTACCATTGGAATGGATAGAAGAATAGCCAAAATGGCGCGGACTCAGCCAACAATCAGCTCCAGGAAGATGAAAGAAGGTGTGACGTTCCCTGTGAGGACTCAGCCAACAATCAGCTCCAGGAAGATGAAAGAAGGTGTGACGTTCCCTGTGAGGACTGTTACAATTAGAAGACGCCGATGTGAAGCCAAGCTATCTGCAAGAAGTCCCCGCAAAGTCCCACTGTTGGGAAAAAGACATGTGCTGAAGAGGTTACAATCTGCCAAAGAGCACATTGACCGGCCTAAAGAGAAATGGCGCAACATTTTGTGGACTGATGGAAGTAAGATTGTTCTTTTTGGGTCTAGTGGGCGGAGACAGTTTGTCAGACGACCCCCAAACACTGAATTCAAGCCACAGTACACTGTGAAGACCGTGAAGCATGGTGGTGCAAGCATCATGATATGGGGATGTTTCTCATACTACGGTGTTGGGCCTATTTATCGCATACCAGGGATCATGGATCAGTTTGAATCCATCAGAACACTTGAAGAGGTCATGCTGCCTTATGCTGAAGAGGAAATGCCCTTGAAATGGGTGTTCCAACAAGACAACGACCCCAAACACACCAGTAAACGTGCAACATCTTGGTTCCAGACCAACAAGATGGACGTTATGGAGTGGCCAGCCCAATCCCCGGATCTTCATCCAATAGAAAACTTGTGAGGGTGACATCAAAAAATGCCGTTTCTGAGGCAAACCAAGAAATAGAGAAGAACTGTGGAATGTGGTCCAATCATCCTGGGCTGGAATACCTGATCACAGGGGCCAGAAGTTGGGGGACTCCATGCAACACAGATGTACAGCAGTTCTCAGAAACAGTGCGACTACAACCAAATATTCATGAAGTCATTCAAAGGAAAGCAAAATCTTCAAACATTTCTCAGTTTATATAGTGAATGTTTGAGTTTGTAAAGAAGAATACAAACACTGCGA